AGAATATTTTTAATAGATATGTTCTGTGATAATACACATATAATTAATATAGTGGTAACGAATTATTGATTATTATAAAAATATCGAATATGGACATTTTAATAAGTTTATATTTTATAAATAAATAAAATAATCCCAATATATGTTTCTTTTTAAGTTATTTTAAAAATGTCTACGCAGCTATTTTTAGTTAAACATTACGAGTTTGAAAAACATAATTCTTTGGAAAACAATCATTATTTTTGTTTTGTTGTTCGTAACATATATTCATCACTTTAACATTACAATTATCACCGCGAAAATCATTTTTAAATCCTCTGAAGCTGGTTTCAAATCAGTTTCAGTGTTGTACAAACTATTGTAATGGAAATGACAAGGCGTTGTACACGTTGAAAATTGAAATGAACAATACTTTTTAAAAATGTATCAAAAATTTAGGATAGAATAATATACAGAATCAAAAAAATAAATTCCTACTACTATAAGGTTAACCTAAAACGAACATGCAATTACGTTTAGGTAATGATCTAAGTATTTAATATTTAAAATATGTCCTTCTCGCACATCAAAAATCTTTTATGTCAAATTGTGAAAACTATTATTTAGTAGAACTTTAGATGATCTTTATTCCAATATTTAAATCATCGTCATTGTAATCTTCTATATATATAAAAATGGATTGCTGTTCCTTAGTCTCGCTAAAACTCGAGAACAGCTGAACGGATTTGGCTAATTTTAGTCTTGAAATACTCCTGGATGTCCAGGAAAGGTTTAAAAGGTGAGAAAAATTGGAATTATTGCCGGGAAAACCCTAAAAACAGCTCTTTTCTATTTTCCATACAAACGATTTTTTGACAGTAGACTTGACAACTAACTAATATGTCAATCATTCTGTTCGATTGAAACAGTGGAAATTTAATAAATACCAATACCGGGTTATTGAAGACGGAATAGAGTTTGCCCGTTCAGCTATACCTATATTACTAATGACTAAATTAACGCGGACGAAGTCGCGGGCAAAAACTAGTGTCATATAAAAAATAATTTGCGGAGGTGTAATTATAAATTATATATCCATTTCTTGAACCCGCACACTTTGTTTCTTTGCCGTTCTTTATTGCTCGTATTTGTTTGAATGCTGCCTTCTGTAGATTGTTCACTAGTACCTGAACAGGCGACTCTTCCAAAAGGCTAGAGACGAAACCTCTTAGTATTCAATGTATTCACCGTGCGGGTGTAGGGTCCATCGTTATAGAGAGGAGCTTCAACAGTGACTGGGACTTGTGACCCAGGTGTAGGTCTAAGGGGCTCTTCTTTCTGCACCAGAGGAAGTTTTTCTTCGCATATACCGTATCTTTTGATACTCGTTTTGATTTTCGAAATCAATCCTTTTCAACTTGCTCCCATCTCGTTTCGACAAGCTGAATCTCTTCTGTGCCCCAAGTTGTATATTCTATTAGATACAGCAAGTGTAGACACCTACAGGTTCCTCCACTGTAAATGCAGTCATGAACGACTGTTATATCGGTTCTATAGAGAAGCTTTTATATTATATTTTTAAAAAATTTCTTTAAAACGAGTCCATACTGTACGGAGAATCCTAACTGAGAAGTCTATCAACATATACAGAAGCAGTAGACTTCCGTTCTTGGTAAGTATCTTGACAGCAATAAAGATAATGTTAGACAGAACATCTTCTTCTTCTATATATATAAAAATGGATTGCTGTTCCTTAGTCTCGCTAAAACTCGAGAACAGCTGAACGGATTTATCTTATCTTAGTCTTGAAATGTTCGTAGAGGTTCAGGGAAGGTATAAAAGCTGAAAAAAAATTATTCATTACTGGGAAAACCATAAAAACAGCCCTTTTCTATTTCCCATACAAACATTTTTTTGACATTAGATTTGACAACTAATTAATATGTCAATCATTCTATCGCACTTCAAAACACGGAGATTTATGGCTTACAGGTAAAAAAAAAAACGTAATAGATATTTCTTGATTATAGGGCGATACGAAGTTCGCCAGGTCTTCTAGTATAATATATAAATGTAATTAGTGACATATATGTCAGAGTTCGTATGTATTTTTGTTACACAATCACTCAAAAACTATAGAAATTAAATTATATGTATTTATTTAAGTCAGAACAATAACAAAATCAAATAAATGTTAACAATTTTACAACTAATCTAAAATACTCCTTGAGATAGTTCATATTGAAAATTAAGATAAAATCTCCTTCAATATATTGTACCTATTTGTATAGTTTTTGTAAAATACCAGACATTTTAACATAGCATTATGTTAAAGTGTCATTCTTTTTGCCTTTGAGATGTAAATTAAAGAACGCGTCACGTTTATTATTCCTTTGATTATAATAAACAGGGCTTAGGGTAACACTCTCGAGAACTCTTCGCAGCAATTCGCATAAATCATATTTTTCTCAACGTGGAGGAGGTAATTTTATTCAAATTGAACCTCTTTAAGCTTAGTAATTTAGTGATTATCTTTGCATAATGAATTGTACGTGTGAAAAACTACAATACGTACAGATTTATAGGTATTTTTGTTGTTTTAAACTGAATAGTAAAGTTATCAAAGACATTTAATCACAAGATATAACGAGTGACACCTACTGAATCAACCCTTAAGCACGCACCCTCACAACAACCTCAAAGGAAGGAATCAATCATACTCATGTACACACACTTGAACAAATGAGAGCAATAACAATATTATATCTCGGAATGATGAGTGCGTGACTTTGTTTTGATCTTTGTACTAGAAATTTGAAGTATCCATATGCTAAGAAATAACGAAGGTAAGAAAAGTCATCTAATTAAGCTTTGTTATTAATTAAAATTAATGCTAAGGTTTTAATTATTTGTAATATTGTGGTAACTAATGACATCTATTGACGGAGTCGCAAAACTATGAAAGTCACGTAAGCTACTAAGTTGATTATTTATAGTTGTCACAGATGTCTCTTAATATTTTTCAATATCCGAACTGAACGTTTCAAACCATTTTTTTAACAAAACCTATTTTAAAAGCTTCATGAACGTCAATTATATATATAATATATTTTCTCACCTTTTAAACCTTCCCTGGACTTCCAGGAGTATTTCAAGACTAAAATTAGCCAAATCGGTTCAGCTATTCTCGAGTTTTAGCGAGACTAAGGAACAGCAATCCATTTTTATATATATAGAAGATAAGAATTTTAACATTCACTTAAAATGAGATACAAGGAATATTGACAAGATAACAATTTTTACAAACGGGCCGTTGGACATGACAGACTTGCTACATTAACTACTACAGCGAGGATATTAAATATTTTTTTAATTTAACCTTAAACATGCCTATACTATCATACAGTTTTATTTCGTCTGGTAGTTTATTGAACAGTTGTACTCCCTCAAACAGAATTGTTTTTTTACCATAATTGTCAATTTGAAATTTGTATTTATTCTTAAAGTTCGAAATATGCGGTCTCTCACAAATCACTATCTCCGATTGAGTGGAACCTGATTTAATTTGTTTGATTAAAATGCATGTATAGTATGTGTATAATTGTGATATATTCATTATTTTTGTTTCATTATAAAGTTGTGCCGTAGGAGTGAGAAAGTGATATTTACATATAATTTTAATAATTTTATTTTGTACTAGCTTTTGCCGCGACTTCATCCGCGTGGAATAGTGACTTCCAGCAGATCTTTGGTTCTTCCCACATAGTTCCCGTTCTTGCGGGGTTTTCGGAATGGTCCAGTTCCCGTAGAATTTTTAGGATAAAACCTAAGTTTTTTTTTATTCACAATGAAGTACTCTTAACCAACAACATATTTATTTGTTTATTTTAATAAAGATTAATATTATTATGTTGATACAACTTAAATTATTTCGACCAAATTAGGTACCATAAAAACGGTTTTTGTGAGTTAATCTTAAAAGATAGACATATACTGTCGCAGACTATTTTTTAGATCATTAAAAGAGCTATTATTCTCTTATACATATTTTTTGTGTATCTTCAAAGATGAAATAATTTCTCCCTTTTTTTACACATTTACCACTATATTGGAGATTAGCGCTTTCAAGCAAACAAACAAACAAACTCTTCAGCTTTATAATATTAGTATAGATTCTTTGTGAACTATTTAGATTTGAAGTAGTAGCTGATCCCCAAACTTGTATTAGATATTCTAAATGAGATTTTACTAAAGTATTGTATAAAATTTTTCGGATTCTTTTTGGTACACAAGTAGACATTCTAGTGATTACTCCTAATAGTGATTGCAACTTTGTTCTAATATGGTTAATGTGTATCTTGAAATTTAGTTTATCGTCTAGCCATAAACCAAGATATTTTTTATATTTGAGATAACTATCCTAGATGGGACTTTTAAAAAGCCAGCAGTTATGTAATATTCACGTAAACACATCCACATATTGAACAGTGAACTAACGCTACCGCGTGTAATACAGAAGCTAATTGCAGCTTGTTAAAAAGAACTTTTTAAACTGTTTAAGGCTGTTTATATAACTGCATCATTAATGGATGGAAAAAATCAAATAACCAAGTATGACGTAACAGCACTCGCTAAAGCAGATCTTGAAAGAGCACAAAGTTTTAATGCACGGGAATATTTCCACTTCCCCTTAAGATTTATTCATTTCTGTCATTGTTGGTGACAGCCAATTTCCTTATTCCACCTACTTTATAAATAAATTATTGTATTGTTATTTGCAAAACATTTAAATATCCAGAGCAACCGGACTCTTCTTATGTTTTATTTGATAAAAAAAAATTTAGGCAATTATGTGAAACTGGAAGGTTACTATTGAACTAATAAAAGAATAAAACTATATACATTTTTTTTTGTAATTTCTTTATTTTGTCACCATTTATCGTAAAACTTTCCTAGGTCACACCGCACGTCGCAGTCACGCAATATTCCGCCTTGTGTATGTCGATCTACCCTCACACATCATGATGGATGGTCGCAACACGAGACCGGTGATGAAGCGGCTTTCATCATCAATTCAATCATCATCACCCATCCCAGTACTCGCGTTGCGCTCACAATAAAACATCTTACAAATTAAAAGACAAAAATACAAAAAAAACTATATTGTTATACACCGAAATTTTGAATTTCACACGCATTAGAAAAATAAATAAGCGTAAAGTTTTAACAACCAGATATTGAAAATTATATATATAATATCCATCGTAAGTACAAGCACCAAGTCGCAGTTTCACTGCTCGAACTCAATTATTTAGGTTCCGTACACGAATTTAGACTTTATACCATATTAACGCTTTGATAGTATCAAAAAATTACTAGCACGGAACCCTCTTTACATCACTCCTTAATACATAAATACAAAGAGACAGACAGACCGTTGAAATTGACATACAAGTGAGCTCATACAAAAAAAAACTTAAATATATATTCCAGTATACGAACCGATAACTACGAAGTGAAAATATAACAGCGATGATATACAATACGATCTGGAGATCTGTCAATGTTAAAAACATCAATAGTAGCGTCGAACAACAGAAAAACAACAAGTATATAAAATACCATTATAATATAATAAAACCTATAGGAAAAAAATTCATCACACTTTGCAATCTTTGGATACAAAATCTCAGCGGCGCGATCGTTTTGTAACCTGACTACTAGCTGGTGGTTGATGTGGACGTATCACAGATCAAGGAAGTCGAACATTACTCAACGAAAGCGCCCAGGACGGGCGGGCATTGGAGGCATTCATATAGCGAATATTAGAGAAAATAATCAAACTCATAACGAAAACCGCCTCTGTCCACAAACCGAACAATTCCAATGAGGATTCGTGTCAAACACGACGTACAAAAATTTTGAAAACGAAAATATAAAGACCAATGTATTTATCCTCATCACATGAGCCACGTCAGTCCCACAGTTCCATACGTTACGATATCATATTACATACTAACCATATTGGGTGCCCAGTCTATACTCATCAGATGACTCCTTCGGTAACTTAACCAGAGATTATGATGAACATTTAAATTTTTTTAAAACAAGAATTTAAAGCCACATTCCAACCGTACACAAGTCTCCATACACAACACCCAATATGCCCTTCTCGTTAATTACGCCACAATTTATATTGCATTCAATTTTTTAATCTTACCAATCCGTGGACATAATCCACGGACTTCCGCGGGGTCCCAAACACGCCGTGTGGACTGAAAGACCCCGCGGAAATAGCAATCCTATCTAGACAACGCCCTGTCACTCTGTACACTACGGAACACAGTTTGTATCCAACGTTCTCGCCCTTAAGAAAAAACATCCAAACGACTCCCGAACTACCCCCACCCGTGGGGTAGACCGTACAGCCGTACGATACTATACATAAAATACCAAATAGGACATAATATTTCCAAATAGTTAATTCTACAAATCATTATATATAATATATATATGAACTACAATCGATTGGCAGTATTCGTTCAGCTCAGGCCGTCTCCCGTGATATGCGGGGAGTCGGTCCATTCTCCACCTATACATACTTAGTACTCACTAACGTATTATACACCGATGTTATAATAATGACTATGACATACATCAGCCGGGCCAGGCGGCTGGCTATCACCTCGCATGTGATCCCTTCAACCTCTTACTCCTACTCCTTACCCCTCTAAACCGTACTGCCGCATCAAACGGCTATCCTTTTTATCGTAACACATTATTCAATCAGACTGCCCACGCCAATCGTGTTATTTATATACTAACGCGTTTAAAACTTAAAATGTCCAACGAAACACATATCGACAGCGTATTTCCAAACCTGCGCGAATGCTCCATAAACCGCTCTGATATACCCAGTTATGTATCTACTTCTATTTCCTTTCTATTACATTTTTTTTCATACTTTTCAATTTCAGGTACTGGTATTGCTTAAAGTAATTAATAAAAATTTTCTTTCGTATCACATATCGGCTGGTTATCGGTGAAGAGCCTGATCGGTATAAAAATAAAATCGGTTATGATCGACGCTAGAGTGGACAAACGTAATCTATTCGAATCGAATCGGTAATCTTTGTAGATGCTATGTAGTTGTGAACCGGTAAGAACATATAGCGACACTAGCGCCAGACGTTCGGCGGCGGGCTGCGACGAGCGTCCACGCGACATCAAAACGTAACGCACAGATAAATTATCTTTAGCAAAACATCAATCAATATCAGAAATATAATTAAAACTAACGTACTATTATAACTCTCTGAATCTTTTTTTTTATTATTATTATTAATTATCATTTATTTATTTTTATTTTTTTATTTTTATGTTATCAGTATTCGATCATTATGTATTGAGTGCCTATGAATGTACAACAGTGGAGCCGGAGCGGATCGCCTTTCACCGTCGGACCCAAAAACATGGACTATTCTTGCAAAAAACCGCTAGCCTTCAAACATATACTTACAGAATAACATTAAAAACTATACAAGCTATTAATTTAATATCATTTTACTATAGCTTATGTTACTTTGTACGAGTTTTGCAAGATTAGTTTCGTGTGTGAGTGAAACGAATGTATATTGAGTTTTGAGTACCGACAGCGAAGTGGCGGGTTATGTTTATATTAATTGACTATCACTGGTGTTCAGAACGAGACCCGCAGACACGAGAAAAACTCAATCCATATATAAAATAAGCATAAATTTGATATGAGCTTGAAATAAATGTGGCAGTGTTGAAGCTTGTTCTGATTATATTAACATGCAACGTGTCTGTGAGCCGGGGTCGCAAATAAAACGAGATCTTGTCTACAGAAAACAATAAAAATGAACATCCTGTATAAACGCAAGACGGATTTCTTCATCTAGACCGCACTCGGTGCCATTATAACAAGATACAATATCACATCACGTAGGAACATAACTACTTAAAGTATGGACACAAGATCTCGCTAATACCACATATGACACTACGTGATTTATATACAGTATATATATAAGGAATAAACAATATGTAAATGCAGTGCATGTGTCGATGTGATGAACGGTGATGAGATGATGAATGGTGATGAGATGAATGGTGATCTGACGATGAAAAGTGATGAGTTATCCCGGGGGGCGGCGCGAGGTATCACAGGAGGCAGCTTCGAGCACACAACGTAAACATCGGCGGATCATCAGATGATATATGATGAAATATATTATGATGGAAGTTATTTGACACCGATAAAGATTTAAATCGCATTTTGATATTTAGAATCATTGAGCCGAATCGATGAATCGTTCGAGTGTAGTCAACATAGATCGTATATTGTATAACTTCCGTATATAAAATCCGCCGATGCACGGAACACAGAAACTCCGAAAATCAAAATCCCATAGCGCAACCATTCACACACCGCCTACAGCCGTCACATAAACCATACGATAACAATCTCACGAGCACACTAGTATTATTTAAACATCACAATATATATATAGATATAGACCGTATATATATCTCGTCTAAATATAAATCTCTGTAAATCTTAAACATCTATGGAACTAAAATTACATTTTGTACCATAAAGTTTTCATTTAAATTAAGCCACCGTTCACACACGATCGGAACGAGCACGGTCGAGGCGCGCCGTCCCCCGGGCGTCACGACACACGACCTCACGACACGACGTACGACACGACACACGACGCTCCGGCTCCTATATATTTCTATTTAAAAGTGATTTATATAGGTATTTTTTTTTCTTTACTATATTTAAACGGACGTCACCAACTTATCCCACACTATGTCGGGTGCTGAGGAAATGTAATTACAATAAAGTTTCGACTATTACTATTGTTAGGGCGACCGTACACTAAGTTACGTTACATCTCAACGACGAGCGATCCAAACGTTCAAACGATAAGAAACGCTCGTCTGCGAGCGGACTTAATTAGGATAAACGCCAAACGTTGTAGCGGATTAAAAAATTGTAATTGTCTTTAGTCACAAATAAAAAAAACACATCCTTTTAAAACTTAAAAAAATATCTATAGTCTCACAGAAAAATCTAGGCAAAGTATTACATTAGCTGCTAGACAGGACAGAATCTAGAACATTTATATTTATCGTGTAATTCAAACACGGTATCAGCAATTCGATGATAGTACTATTGCTAAAATAAATATTGTTACGGAACGGTCGCGTCAATTGAACTCTATCGTCATACGATAAGGTTCAAAATAGCACGACCGGACCGAGCACGCGCTGTACAGAGAAGCTGCCGATACAACCGCCGATTGTATGACGATTAGAACAATCTAGAACAAATTATATAATAAAGTAATGTTCATAGTCGGCGGACGCACAGACAAACATTATTTACATAATACACTGCATATTCATTACACTATATCGATGTGTTGGAGCCACGATGCGACCGGCTTTAATGACTCGCCAGTAGATATCTACGTATCTACTTATTGTAAAACACTTAACAGCCTACACATTTTTTTTGCTGTTTTTGTATATTTATTTTTTTGTTTTTTTCGATAATAATAACAATAATAGTTATTATTATAACTTTAATGTGTACAAAAGATGTCCGCTGTAAAGCCGACGAAATGAGTGAAAGTAGGTGAAATGTGTGCGTACACACGACCGGCGCGGTCACTGCCTCGGGAAACAAAATGTGGTCCGCGGTGACGTCATGGTTACGACGTCATTGTTGTGACGTCATCGAACTCAAAGATCTCCTCGGCAGGGAGCGCGCCGGCTCACACGGGGTGCTTACAATCCAACCTTAACCTATCCATACAGCCGCGGCGCACACACACACACATATATATACATACATATTATAAACATTAATTTACATATATGTGTGTGCATACAATATATAAGTATATAAAACTACTCGTAGTAGTACAATGTCACGTCAATTTTGAATCGCCAATAACAAATCAGTGAGTAGATTTAACAATAGATCGCCTTATAGACTTTAGCCGTCCGACTTATAGACGGACGTCTTGGGAAAATAAAACCCAGTGTCAGTCTTAGTGAAAACATTTTTAGCCATGCCAATTATATCTGAGCTAACGCCTGCGGCTGCCGATTCTATCACAGATGTGCGCTATCTATATAAAAACACCTTATCTGATACACAGACGTACATACAATTGATATATATTCATGTTACTCGTTTCAAGATCCCAGTTATTATTTTTTCTGTCTTCAATTGACACTCATAGACCATTGTATGTATGTCTGTGTATTCTCTCTCTCTTTCTCTCTCAAATCTCTCTCTCCTGTAAACACCCGGTGCGTCGTCACGGCGGCGCCTGGAACCGTCCGTCCGTCTGTATGTTTGTTGTTCGCGTCTTACGTTAATAATAATTAAAGTATCATATCATGTATATATAAAAGCCGATTCCAAGCGCGCCTCACACCCGTGCCCTTTGTATACATCGTATAAACAAACAAAAAAAACACTAATATTAAATAATCCATAAAAAAAGAAACACGTACACCTATAAACTAGACGAGTGGCATTACATTCTCGAAAATTTATTATGTTATAGTTTAGAGAGGCGAGCGCCGTCAGTGGCGACGGACGTCCCTTTGTTGTATTATTTACAAACAAAAATAATAAAATCCAATGTATACGGTGAAGCTCTATACTACACGTATATGGACACTATGTACAGGAGCGGGGGGCGGGGGAGGGGCGGCGAGGCGGGGGGCGCGGGGAATGACGTCACCGCCGCATCAAATCCGGGGCGGGGCGCTGCCGGCGAAGGATTCCTGGAATTATACATAGTATATGAGAGAATCGATTCATTGAAATTCTAAATAACATATATTTTCTTAGATTATTTCATCTGTCTTTCTTTCATGTTGTTTATAATGTACTCTTTATAACAAAATACCTTATGAGATAAAATAATTAACTTACATAAAATTTAATAACCTTTTGTTTTCTTTTCTAGTTAACAAGTGCTATTACTCAGTAAACGATTTTCTAATGGATAAGACAGTTTTGTAAGAAATTGCTGAATAAAAAATGTATAAAATAGAAAATAAATAATTTCATCTGATATATAATATAATTGTATAGTAAATTTTAATTATGTAGTTAAGTTTAATTTATAATTTTAATCTGTAAAACACTTAATATGAATTTATAATTATAATTGCATAGTTAATTTAATTTGTAATTTTAACCTTCATAAGGTCTTCCGGTCAATTTTGACCCATTTTGAGATAAAAATGTACTTTTCTCGATAAATAAGCTTTCAACAAGTTTGATTTTGATTACTTTTAATTATTGGCGTCAATTTTCTTATTATTGGAATAAGTTCATCAAAAATGATTAAAATATTCCACATATGTTTTTTTTTACTCTAACAGTCTTCGGGTCAGATTTGACTGCAACTAATAACAAAAGCACAGTGCATCTGTTATCGTCTCAATTGCTTATGTATCTTATAATTTTTTTAATGACACCTTCTTTTGTTCTATCCACATAAGTTATACATATTATACTAAATTATACATATTATAACATCAATCGAACAACACGTACCCTAGTTTACAGTGGTGAAAACGTTATTTGCTTATAAAAAATGATAGACAGTCAAATAGAAGCGGCGTTATTAGATGAAATGTCGAAAAGAAATGAATCCTGTTCTGAAACAGAAGATTATATCGAAGAAATTGAACCATCTGATAGCTCAGATAGTGACAGTGAATTAGTGCTTATGCCAATAATGACTTCATAAAATGGACAAATAAAATATTCCAGGCACCCCGTCAGACAGTCTTATAGAAGAACTTCTAGAGAAAACAAAATGAACTTGAAACCAGGTTTGACACGACACTCTTGCTCAAGGATTACCTTATAAAAAAATCGACTTTTGAACTATTTTTCCCTCCATCCTTGATACACACCATATTGAAATATACAAATTTGGAAGATAAGCGTGTTTTCGCTAATGTTTTTTGAAATGATATTTACGATATTGATCTGTTTGCATATATTGGGTTATTATTGCTATCTGGCATATTTCGTTCAAATAATGAAAGTACCAAAAGCTTATGGGATAGTGAGAAGGGCAAACTAATTTTTGAGGCAGTCATGCCACTAAAAACTTTCAAACAATTGTCAAGGATGATTAGGTTTGACAATAGAGAAACTCGATCCGAACGGCGACTGCTGGATAAATTTACTCTAATTCGAGATCTGTGGAATCAGTGGGTTGACCTTTTGCCAAAATTTTATAATCCTTCTGAAAACGTTACAGTAGATGAGCAATTTGTAGGATTCAGAGGAAGATGTCCATTTCGACAGTACATGCCGTCGAAGTCTGCTAAATATGACCCCAAATTTTGGAATTTATGAGATTCTAACACAAGTTACGTTTGAAATAGCCAACTATACACGGGCAAAGTAATAGGAGGTGTGCCTGAAAAAAACCAAGGCGTGCGTGTAGTGCTTAATTTGACTCGCGGCCTGAGGGGGCATATTCTTACGGTGGATAATTTTTTTATATCATATCAACTTGGACAGAAATTTTTAGAAAAACAGATCACTGTAACAGAGACTATACGTAAGAATAAACCGAAATTGCCTTTTTAGTATTACTGCTCGTCGCTTATAAATATATCTAATGACATAGTATATTCTTTTTATATTAGATATATGAAATTATAATTTTTACAAAAATAAATAGTCATTCTGTAGAAATAAATATACATATATGTCAAATAAATCTAATTTATTTTTTATTAATTTTTCAGCATAATTTTACTACTTGGGTCCGATCTGACCCAAAGCACGACAACGTTTATAAAATTAAAGACCTTATGAAGGTTAATTGAATACTTCATTTTAATTTATAATTTAAAACCTAATACTTAAAAACCTATATTTTGTACCTGCATTCAGAGCAAATAAATATTATAATTATTATTATACTAACCACGTCCCTGTTGGGCTGCGCTGATGGAGCGCGTTGCGCGGGTGCTCCGCTGGCGCCCTGGAACACGAGGTATTAGCCATTTAAATATTTGGTAACTTAGATTAAATATACATACAGAAGTCAACTGCAAAAAGTTATATAGAAAATTTAAAAAATAAGCGGATATTTTTTGTATTCATATGACACATAAGTACACGACTTCTAGTGAAGAAAACGTGAAGAATGTCTATTACATTTTGTCGTCTTGAATTCATGGAACATAAATGTGACCTGTATCATTATACCTATATCATTTGCAAAATAATAAAGAACTTAGTGAGGCCGAATGATGATGGAGAGGGTTTTAACAAAGAATTTAATTAAAATAATTTACGGATGTAGTGAAAATTAGACAATGTACTGATTCTAAATAGAAGACCTTTCAGAAAAACATTTCTTCTGAAGCAAATATACTCAAATTTTACAATATATTTGAACTCATCAGTCATTACACACGTGCATATTAGAGATAGATCTCAATATACGATTTTCGCGACTTTATTTATATGAAACTAATATTTTTCGGGATCCTACGTAGGCTTTATTTTGGTAAAAAAATATGTACTCCCGACGTTTCGTTTACTTTACAGCAACCGTGATAACGAACAGACGAGATGAAAATATTAGTTTCATTTAAATTTGTGTGTGTGTGTGTGTGTCTGTGTGTTTCTGAGTTGTGTGTGTGTGTGTGTCTGTGTGTTTCTGAGTTGTGTGTGTTTGTGTGTCTGTGTGTTTCTGAGTGGTGTGTGCGTGTATGTATGTCTGTGTGTGTGTGTTTCTGAGTTGTATGTGTGTGTGTCTGTCTGTGTGTGTGTGCCTGTGTGTTAGTTCACCTGATGGTGTTCTGGGTCGTGCGCCCTGTTCATCTTGTCGCAGTAGTCAGCCAGTATGTCTCTGAAGCGCGTCCAACACTTTTCTGGTACTGTGATAGCGGTGCGGAAGTTGCTCTTCACCTGCATACACACGACATACTAAATGATGAACTATATTGCATCAAAACAAATGTTACTATGGACTTTTTTGTTTTGCAAATAGACATTATTTTATGTGGTTTTTCTCCCATATTATGTATTCACACACACAATTTCCTTGAGTCAAAATGGTGTATTTAACAAATCTTACTGCTTTAATTAATGAATTCTTTGTAATATTTAGATATACATATTCAAACACTGAATCACTGAAATCTGTGACGAATTCAATTTATTTGGACAGTTCACATTTCAATATTCAGAAGGTCTCAGTTCAAAGCTGTTATATATTTCGGTAATATTACATATGTTTAAAATTATATCGCCATGAATGAATGCAAAGTTATGTTTGTTAGCATAGATTTTATTAACATTAAAAAAATATAAATAAAATACGGGAGTGGAAAATGAATTTGGTGGAAAAGAAATAAAATAAAATTAGGGTCTTTGCATGGGAAATTACATCAAAAAGTCTAGAATGTGAAATATTTATCAGATGAGATAAAATTTACATATTATAAATATTTATCTTCTATAATATTATAATTTTAAAAGATTATTTTAAAATAAGATATACTTTGATAAGTGCAAAAGTTACTGAAAACATGTCCGATAAAATCCCAGTATTATAACCACATAATATATCTATGTACTTATTCAAATCATTGCTTATGTTTGATATATTACATAGAGTTTAAACTTTGTCAATTCAGCAGAATAAACTGCGCATTCTGCACATATGAAGGATACATATTAAACAATTATTTAACCTATATATTACAGATTGCGTCACAAAACATCTTATTGCTTATTCATACGCGGATGGGATGTGGTGGGGATGAAAAACAAAAAACGTATAATGTAATTATAATCGCGGGAGACATGAAATTACTTGCAACGATGGTACCACCTCGCTGACTTTCATGTAGACGCCGCGGTTGTTCTGACCGATGTCGAAATAAAAGTTTTTATTGTCTACGCGGAGGTGGCGCCCTTCGGGTAACTCGCCCTTGAATCTGAAAAATACAATAATATTATATAGTAAAAATACAATAATTTTATATAATAAAACAAAAACAATAGTCATTAGTACAGTCTATGGGTTTGTTTAATAATAGAACTCTAATTTATCTAATCTACTGTGGACACGATAGCTTTGTTTGTAAAGTGACTGAAACGAGATATTCCAGAAGTCACATATTCGATTCCGATTTTTTTACTTTCATTTTTGGTATTATTTTCTCTTTCCATTTTAATAAAGTGAGAAATTATTTAAAGAATTATATTATCTGTATAGTAAATGGTATATTATTCTACTTTTGGAATTTTGTATTGACAAGTTAATTAGATTTTTCCGTGATCAATTTAACAAAATAATTGTATTTTATTAATTATGTAAATTCAAATATCTCGTGACCATAATCTTTGATTGGAACTAAAATGAATAAATTTAAACAAAATATATAATGTTTAGTTTTACATACGTATAACATTTTTGGGTTTTTAAAATATTTTATAAGAGTTTAAGGCATTGAAAATATTTTGAAAAACATGTATGTAACAACGATATTTAGAAAAACTTTTACTATAGAATATATTCAGGGATTTGAAAGGTCTTGCAAAACATTGAATAACATAACTATACCAATAATGCACCAATAAAAATCCATAAAAAATTGGATTTAAGTCAAGAAGCTTTACCTTTAATCAAATTAAATAAACTTGTAGTTTTTAATTTTGGAATCTTACAAATAATTTACGTATAATGTTTTCCACATTTTAATCAAAATCATAATAGGATAATTTTAAATGTTTTTTTTTTGTTACTTTTGGTATATATGGACTTGTTTAGCTCAAAATCCAGTTGTTCTCATTCACCATTATACCAGTCTTCAACTATTGAGCTATCAATTCTTATTTTTACCTAATTTTAAACTCATAATCAGCGATCAAAAAATATTTTGGATCCCATTCTTGAAAGTACAACAATCTACTATATTTGACACAAATACATTCTATTAATTATAATTAATTTATCTCCATAGTATATATGTAGATTTATTCTCTTTGAAATTCTTAAACTTCAACCAACCCGGAATACATTTTAATATATCGGGATATCTCAAAATACAGTGGATTTGGTAACAATGTTCTTGGCGTTAAATGTTTGTTTTCTTAGGGTCAGAATTCTAAGAGTAAAACGTAAGGTAATTAGGCTTGAATGAAAGAAACTATGGTGAAATGTGTTATAATAAATCGCGTAGTACTTACTAGAAACCATAATTTTATGTATAGTTCGAGGTACAGTTGATACTTAGTTCAATATTATTATTAATTAGAATTAATCATACAAATATGTAATTCTAATGAATATAGTGTACTAGCTTTCCGTCCGCAGCTTCGCCCGCGTGGAGTTCGGTTATATCGCGTTTATAAGAGAACCTTTCAAAAGTCTGGGATAAAAACTATCCTATGTTCTTTCTCGAGGTCAACTTCATCTCTGTACCAAATTTCATTCAAAAAAAGTTCAGTGGTTTAGGCGTGAAAGCGTAACAGACAGACAGACTGAGTTACTTTCGTATTTATAATATTAGTAGGGATTATACAGGGTGACTGGTGAATTACTATCGATACTTGAGGACGTGATATTTGACGATCTTATATGACAATATAACATAAATATTAATAAACTTCTAAGTAAAGTTAACCAAAAGTTGTGTAATAAATTACGCATCGTGTGAACACCCTACAGATTTGGTATAAACACACACACACACAAACGCGTGCAGCGGCGTGGTGTTGTATCAGCACGCCACCGTACGCGTCCACACTTGGAACACTTGGAACGTGTCCACGCTTTATTTATTTATACGGAAATTTGGTCAAAAATTAAGTACCTATTTTTTTTACACAATTCGAATGAGAATCATGTACCGAGTATTCTCCTTAAATATTGATAGTAAGTCACCAGTCACCCTGTATATAGGTATATAGGTCACAGATGGAGCCACTATTAACATCTCACCCTCCATCATCTGATCCGAAGTCATCCAGCAGGTCGGTGAGTGCGTCACGGAACTCTATCATCCCCTGCGCTGGCAGAGCTACCTGTGCACGAGGACCGCCCCGCGTCTGTGTCTGGGACACGCGCAGGAAACGACCGCGCGAGTTCTCTTTTAAATCTAAGTAGTAGCGTCTGTTGTCCTGTGGGGAAAATTAATATAATGAGATCTAAGATTTTCGCGAGTACTCATTTAAATGAAACTAATATTTTCATATACTACGCGTTATTTTATTATTTTAACTACATACTCCCGACGTTCGGCTGATCACGGGCTTTCGGTGATCACGGGCAGACGAGATGGTTGCTGAAAAGTAGCCGAAACGTCGGGAATATGTAGTTCGTAATAAAAAATAAAAAACGCGAAGTAAAATCCGAAAAAATTAGTTTCATTTAAAATAAAAATAGCTCAAGTTAAATGGTTACATGTTTGAATGTCCCATACATTTAGTGATATATCCAGTATATCATGACCTGTTAGTTTCAATCGATGTATTATTATCATGATATCGTCGGGTACAGTGCAAATCCGCGTCTCTCTAATCTATCTATATTAATTATTTAGTGCTTAATTTATTACTAGAAGCTATTTCAGCTTAAGCGTTCTTCTGATAATCTGCTTCCAAGGCACATATGCGGAATTTTCCAATAGTAATTACGCAGATTAGCACTATTTGGACGATATATGGAAATATTCCATGAAATCACTGTTTACCTTAAGCATCATCTCTGATTTGAGTTTTCCGTCATCCGGCACGTTATCCGGGTTTGGTGGGCCCAACGACGAGTAGAAATCGCTGAACGCCGACAAATGGTCCCTGAATTCTGCCGCGGTTGACATAGCCAGGAATATCTGGCTTCGCCTGCCATCAGCGCCGATCTACGGTCAGAACTGCGTTTCATCAATGCTTTAATAATTTATAACATCCGAGCATACATTTTTTTTGGACAGTCGTTTGAATTCCATTAGAGCGATATGGACTATGTTCGTCATTCGCGCAAAAAATATTACAGTATTTTTTCATGTTAAACTCATATAAGAATGAAAGAAAAAAATAATTGGCGTTCTTTAATATCCGGGTGTTGAGAGGATAGAAACATTCAATTCATTCACTGTATGAAATATCTTTACGAGTCTGAAATGTAAATTAATTTGACATGTAATGCATTTTTTTTAAACTATTGCTACACAAATATTTATTAATTATTTTTCTAACGATTCATACATAAAAATGACAATGTATATAAATAAATACGCTTCTCTTATCAGTTAGAAGAAGATTTACATTTTATCTGGATATATTTTATATCAAAATGATTTACATATACGTAACACGATGATACGAGAAATTGATTTAATCTAAGAAAAGAAGACATCTGTTCAGATCTATGAAGTAGAATGTTCCTATGAATTAATACATATTATATAAAAACTATTAAAGCGGAATTTCGAGCAGAGACAAAATTTCTTAGCATTATTTATGTATTCACCGTATGGATGATTCATCGTTGCAGGGAGAGGAGCTTCAACAGTACCTGGGACTTGCGACCCAGGCGTAGGTTTAAAGGTCCCCTATCTAACGAGCGTTATACGCTCACCTCCACCGTCCAAGCTTATCTCTCTACGTAACTAAATTTGAAAAGAACCTACTATGGCTGCTTTCGAAGTACGTTCAAGAATAAACTAATATTAATTCTGGACAAGTCCAAGTCTTATTAGGCTGTAGAGATATTTAGGTGTTACACCTCTCACTCCCACCTCTACCGCGTATAAATCACTATTACGTAATTGATGTAATTATTATTACAGTATTGTTTAAAATAATGATCTTAAAAGATCATTTCTTTATACATAATATCAATTAAAAGCTATAACAGACTATAATTGTAGTTTAATAGTTTTTACAAGATAATTACGCTTCTAAACGTATTCAATAGCTGCATTAATTGAATTGTAGTAATGATGAATAGTTATAATTTATTCTATTAACGTTAATGAGGAATAGTCTTCTTTATTTTCTCTGAAGCTTTGACTTTATCAGACAAGTCATAGAGATGGGAAGTTTAAAGACTTTTACATTTCCTAACCATGACTGTTTCCATTTTCGATTAATAATTAATTTGTCAATGTTTTCTTAAAATGTCTTACTTATAATACTATTCATATTAGGATTATATTTGATGAAAAGTAATTTTTTTAATACAAATTAGTCCACGAATATCGAAAATTTTGCACCAAAAAAATTATCCAACTTATAAATTTACACCAATAATTCAAGATATTATTAAGACACTTTCCTTACTAACATTTTCTTTAATAATTCTAACACACCATAAAACTAAACACGTAAAAACTCCAAAATTCATAATCGCGAAATTAATTTCACGGCATTGCGACGACAATAAAATCATATATTTAATTGGCCTTAAGCTTACCACGATTACATTTAATATCCTTAAAATTCTCACAAGAAAAACGAAACTTTGCACAGGATAGCATTACTATAAACATTTCCGACGACTTTTGTCGAAATGTACAAAGTTTATTTGATCACGCGCCATCACAAGTTTAATTTAATCAGACAACGAAACTTATTTGGAAGCGAACAGAAGGAATAATTTAAATGGAATAATAATAATTTATAAATAACTAAGTTTAGTTCGGACACCCAATAAATAACTAAGTTATTCGCGTACGTATAATAAATAACTCGATTATTCGGACACTATGTAAATTACTATATAGGATCTCTTTAAGCAAGAATACATACACACTATGGCCCATAGAGGGTATCGGCTGCAAAAAAACGCTCAGAATATATAAATTTAACTTTCCACCAATTAAAACCTCCCTAAATTTTCGGTACACACCCAACTAAATCAGACAAAAAAATCAATATGTATTAAAAATAACATTCGCTTATAACAAAACTTTCCTTCATAAAATCGCTTTCGGAATATTTAACTTTTGGGTAGGGTATGAATAATTATAACCGATTAAATATTAGCGTCGGGAATACGCACCAAAATGAATATTCTAGAGGGAATACAAACCAAAAGGAATACAAACCAAAAGTATGATACATATATATAATAACTTGTACCTCTGCAACTTTTATAAACCGCCCTCTCCTATTCTGCTTCACGTCTAGATAAAACCTCTTGGACTGTATTTGGAGCATTTTGGTCGCCAGTTCCTGCTCCTGAGGTTGTTGACCTGGTCAATGGAAATGAATATCAAAACCTGATGGAAAACTGAACTGTACATAACAGCTAAGAATGGAAGTGATATGAGGTACATTTTTTCAAGACAAATTAGACATGATTTTTTGGCACCATTGTAAGTTTTAAGGCATATTTTTGACATTTAAAAGTACTGAAATCATTGCTTTATTATTTGAAATATATACCTAATTGAAATTCTATGAATATGATGAGGTTATTTCCTATATGAATATGATGTGGTATTTCCTATGGATACCATTTAATATCAATGTTTATTACAGAAAAATATATACATGAGATCTAAGATTTTCGCGAGTTTTATAAATTATAATAAAATGTATATTAGTATATTAAATTTTCACCAAAAATTTACTTTTTATAACAAAATCCAACGGGTAAGGAAATTAAGAATTATTCAAATTATAGGTCAAACTCACCGGAGTCAAAGTTATTCCCACCCGCATCCATGACTTGACCATGATATTCTGTAATACATAAACAATTAATAAATACAAACATATTTATATTATATACTTTTAATATGGTAAAAGGTTTCGAAAATAAAACTATGTAGCATATTTGTATATATGTATTTTAATTTCAACATATACAGCCGATGTAAAATATAATGGCTACCGTTTACATATACTACCCACATGTGTATATATTTGCATCCAACGCAAATAAAATATAAATGAGCAAAACCTGTCCATTTTAGATCTTTGCCAGACTGTTATATAAAACTAGCTGACTCGGCACACGTTGTTTTACCATATAAAAAATAGGGGTTGCTGATAAGAAAATAAAATTTTTGAGTAGTATGTATTTTCTATATTACATATTACATTTTAAAAAAATAAAAACAAAAAATTTCGTCCGAAAAATAAAACAAATAGATGTAGATGAAAAATAGATGTTGACCGATTCTCAGACCTACTCAATATGCTCACAAAATTTCATCAAAATCGGTTCAGCCGTTTCGGAGGAGTTCTCTGTCTATAACGCCGACACGAGAATTTTTTATATAAGATATATTTTTCCAAAGATACATACATGTATATATTATATAAAATTCGTTTTTGCACGACACCGATCCAATTGTATCAGCACCACGCCTCTGTATATTGTAACCGTACACGCAATTTTATGATATATAACATATAAAATTATCATAATATAAATACATATGAATTCCCTACAAAATAAACTTGTATCAAAATGAAGACATCGCATTAAACCGATTGTGAATACGATCTTTGGTGTGTAAAATCGATTTTTCATATTAGAACACTCCTGAAGAATTAGTTCCTATACATCATTTTTGTGTTGACGTGATTTAAAACAATAAAAGCCGTAAGTCACCGGATACCGCTTGGAAGGATCAAATAACATGATTGGTGGATACTAGAGGCTAGATGAATTGTCGCTTCATCTTAGAAGACGAACAAGGTCATATGTGTTACCATTATATTATGTATATATGTTTATATATTCCATATCCTTATTAATATTATAAATGCGAAAGTAACTCTGTCTGTCTGTTACGCTTTCACGCCTAAACCACTGAACGGATTTTAAAGAAATTTGGTAGAGTTAGAGTTGACCTTGAGAAAGAACATAGGATAGTTTTTATCTCAGACTTTTGAAAGGTTCTCTTGGAAACGCGATATAACTGAACTCCACGCGAGCGAAGCTGCGGGCGGAAAGCTTGTTAGTTAATAAATACATAAATGCAATATTTTGATACCTCATCTCAGGATGATCTTTGGCTACAAGGATACTTCTCGAAGCAAATCTTTCAAGATTAAATCGCGTATGGAAGTGTAAAATCTTGCCGGTTATCACATTAATGAGATCAAAAAAATATTATTTTCTATAATATTGATTTAAAAACTTCAAGCCCTGCCCAATGAAGCATTGCGGCCGACTTGTTGGCCAATACAAGCATATGAACAATCGGGTCGATAGATAAAGATTATGAAAGAAATATAATTATTGGTTTATAATTAAAATTCATACTGAAATTTAACTTGTGTATAGTGAATGTTAATTACTGGTATTAGCTTTTAAAACAGAAAATCCGTTACAAATTCCGGGTGGATACAAATTACACCCTGGAATAGTAATATCCGGAGGAAAAATACATTTTCCCGGTCAGTCAAAACGATTTTGGTTCACTAATATATCCACTTCATTAACTCTTAGACACCTAGCTTGATATATCTCTTGAGAATTAATTAATTAATACGAAACAAATAATAAGAACATCGCCAAATTAATAATAAAATAAAGTAATTTGTAAAGCTTTTTGTTAGTCCCGCAAACTAAAAGAATTTGTATGAAAGTAATGTATTATGTTAGAATAACAAAATAATTAAACACTATCCAACAACAAAAGCAGTCACGAGCGAAGCTGGGTGAGAAGGCTAGTATAGATCAGCATTTACCTTTGGGACAGAAAACTAGCATTGAATATCGCATGCACAAGATGGCTTGATGTATAGAATAAAAATTATATGACAAAAGAGCCGTGTTTATTAAGTATAACCGGTTCAGAAAAATACTAAACTTTAACCGCGACTACGCCTATATTTTTACGAAATATTGCTCAATATAAATCAGTAGAAAGCATTATATAAAATTCCTCTTCATTCCGCCAAAATGACCAGACAATTTTGTCATAGATATATAATTTTGTTACAACTTAAATGTTCAAAAAATATATACATCATTTAATCTATTTAATATGCGAATTTTGATAGCCTTTTTTAAATTTTAATAGGTCTGTAGTTTTGCATAAATTAAATACACGCATACCAACACACATACGCGTATTAAAATTAACAAAGCATGAATATTTTTTTTATATATAAATACCTATATACTATGTACAATTCCAAGTGATATTCTATATAATCTATCTTCGTATAGCAATATATTTATTATCTGTTAAGTTAATATTATTATTAGGGTGATGAACAAGTGCCTGAACAGACCTAAATCCTTAAAAATTCTATTAAAAGTATTACAGTTCTAGGTTATCCTCAAAGCTAGACGTCTAAACACTTGCTTAACCTAAATGAGCTCAATTAAAAAAAAAATAGTCTGACAGAACAGATAAATAAAATTAAAGGATGAATATGTTAAACCGTTTCGTATAACCGCCAAAAAAGGTTCCAAATTCGAAAATTCATTCGATATTTAATTTTAAATTTAAACACTCCATATTAACAGTAAGTTTAGTTTATAGGAAGAAAAAATACCTTTGATTTGACAACAATCAAGTATATAATGAAAATAACGTAAAAAAATACATTATAACTAATATAACGTCATATATTTGTATATAAATCTAATAAGGTGGTATAGGAATCGTTCGTCCGTTATGTAAGTGGTTCAAGGCGGGTCATTGGCACCAGACATAATTTTGCCACAGACACAAGCCAGACGTACAAAAAAAGTGAAACCTATATATATTTTTTATATGGTGAAATCACGGCGTTCCGCGCTACGTGATTTAGACGTTTAAACATTTTATTTTAATATATCGTTATAAAATTTAAATACGTATAATCTTGAACTTTTTTGAACCAAAAAACAATGTTGCCATTATGTTATAATTTACTCAAAATTTAGTTCATACAGTTTAAATGTAATGCGTTTTTAATTATTTATTTGGCAATACTGTTTTGCAATAGCCTAATATAATGTCAGTAGTGTTAGTAGTGACGCAAGCTCGCTTCAAACTTTATTCGCGATTTTCTGTTTCACAATATTTAACCAATGTGGTGGAAACAAAAATGGCCGGTTTGGCAATCGGAAATTAGCACGTACATAATTTAAATATGTTAAACTACTTATTACAGTTTTTATACAGTTAACACAAGAAAATTATAATATACCTACATAAATGTATGTATGTGTGTATGTAAATGTGTTTTTCCTCCCCTCTCTTTTTATTGTACATACACCACATTTCTCTTCTCATTTGATATATCAAAAAGATAAGTTATCCTTATAAAAAAATGTTTCTCAAAGAATAAGAATATTGTACCTAGAATATATTGACATTATAATTATTCTAATTATTGTTATTATTATATACAAACAGAAATAATTATGTAAATTATCCACACTATACAAATATGGTAGACGGAATACTCATTTGAATATTAAGGCATCTTATACTATACAAGTGCCAAACTTGGGCATTAACAGAAAAAATAGAACAAAAAAAACATCTGTCAAAAAAGTATAGAGAGGAGTGTTCTTGGAATCAAGAAGAAAGATAAAGTAAGACTAACGGAAATAAAAAAGAAAACACAATTTACTCAAGCACGTTCATTATATCGAACACAGAAATGGAGATGGACAGGGCACATGTTAAGGGAATATCAAGAGAAATGGACGAAAATTGTAACAGAGTGGTACCCGAAAGATGGAAAAAGAAATAAGGGACGACCAGCTAAAAGATGGGAGGACAACTTTAAAAAAGTGGCCAGTCCATTATGGATCCGGGTAGCAAAGGAGAGAGAAAAGTGGAAGTCTTTAGAGGAGGCCTATGTCGAAAACCAAGCTGTTTTTAAAACTAACGTCGATGAAAGCATTTTATTATAAGTAATTTAAGATTAGATTAAGAAATAGGATAATATTATAAAATGTAGTTATTTAGTAGAAGTAGTTTTTGCAATTTAAACAGCAATAGAGGCTAATTTTGTTTTATTCTTTATTTTTATACTATACAAGTACAGTACAGCCTAGTCTGCTTAATGTACAAGTCTTTATTTGTTTAGCCTTTGGGTCAGGTATTTGCAAAAATCTTATAACACCCTTCAAGTTCAATACAATAACACATTTAAGGTGCTGCTGGGGCTACCTCGTTTCTGTAGTGCGACAGGGATGTTTGCAACAGAGTGGGTTAATTGTTTCTTCGCTACTATGGACAAAAGGTGTGGTGCTTTTATACGAAGACTACAGGCCAGCACATGATTGTGCTTACATGAATCAATCATACTTTATTATTGATTATAAATAAAATAAATAAATATAAGATAGGACTGTAAAATAATAATTAAAAAATAAACTACTGTTAATATGTATTGATTGAGACCAATTTAGTAAATATTCTTCTAATATATATGGTAATGATTTAAAGTTGTCTAAATGATTTGAACTACATATTAGTAACTACGGTATTCTTCAAGTAAAGTAAACCACTCTTATGACTGTATATGGCTTCTTATTCAAAAACTATTATAGTTATTAATAAATTTATATATTTCTAATAATTAATTACTTTAATTTTTATTATATGTGAAATGGAAGAAAAAGTGACTTAACACTTCATGTATATAAGTCGGCAAATTTTATAAGACTTGCAAATAGTATGAAGTAATTAAATATTTATAGGATGCAATATAAATAGATTATGGAATTGTTTAATAATTTTGTTGATTTTAATGAAATAT